AAATAAAAAAAATAAAAAAAAAGGAGAAAAAAGTATTTTTCTTCATAATGCTAGAGTTTTGACGACAAATTTCAGTACAATATTCAACCATTAATATGATTGGAATATTTAAATGAGAGATTTGGTCACAAGTCCCTCGGACCTTTTATTTTGTCAAAAGGACAAAAAAAAAATTCAATACTTGCAAAACTCCCTCACAACTCCCGTTTTTTGTTAAAGGACAAAATTTTACTTTGATTCATAATAAAAATTTACTCTGAATCAGAGTAAATTTTACGATTTCGTCTATGAACAAATAAAAAAAAAAGGGAACAACAAAAAACAGGGGTTTACCAGTAAAGGAGTAAAGGAGAGAGAGAGAGAGAGAGAGATCGAATGAGAGAGAAACAGATAGAGAGAAGGTTCGAAAGAGAGAGAGAGAAACAAAGTCAAGAAGAAAGAGAACGAACTATCGATTTTCAAATCTAAGGTAACAAATCTCAGATCTGATATCATCAATCTCATACGAAATAGTGGAGATAAACAGTGATTATGATAATAATAATAAGGATGTTTTAAAATACTAAGGGTTTTTGAAAGTACTCATAATTTTTGTCCTTTTGACAAGATAAGTACCTCCCGAGAGACTTATGGCCAAATTTTCCTATTTAAATTAAAGGTCAAATTACATTTAATTTTCATAAACTAATAGATGGACGGAAGGATAATATTAATGCTTAACTTGAAATATAATATGTTGATTGCCATAATTTAGGGCTGTTTTGGCAATCTACTAAAATAGTAGAACAATCATTATAAAAAAATTATTTTTTTGGCTTAATTACAAAAAAAAAATCCAAGGTTATGCATATTTTTTACTTTAAACTCTAGTGTTTTAATTTCGATAAATTAAACTCTGGAATTTCATCTGTGTTTCAATTTGCCTCATTCGTCCATCTTCGTCTATGTAAGGTAATGGAGGGGTTTAAAAGTGAAAAATGCATGAAATATTATGATTTTTTGTGTAATTAATAATTTTTTTAACATGTTTTTCACTTTAAACCCTCTCTGCTACCTTACCAAACGGAAATGGACGAATAGTGTAAATTGAAACGCGGATGAAACTCCAGGGTTTAATTTGTTGAAATTAAAATAGTAGGGTTTAAAGTGAAAAACGTGCGAAACCTTGGATTTTTTTTTTTTTTTGTAAGTAGCCCTATTTTTTTATACGTTTTTTCATAAAAATAATAAACAAAATCAATTAAAACAGATCATTTTCACAATAATCCTTAAAATAAAAGAAAGGAAGTGAGATTACATGAAAAATTCAAGGGGTGTTAAATGAAAAATTATTTGAGTAATGCTATAAAAATAAAAAATTCATATATAATAATATGATTCATTATGGACTATTCACTTCAAAATAAAATAATGTTAAAGATACATTTATTTATAATAATGATATTAGCATATCAACCGTGTTATGCGCGGGATAAAATAATATATTATTTAATAAAAATACGATAATTATATTTATTTTTTTATATTATATAAAATAAAAGTTAAATGGAAGCCAGCCAATCAGGATTTTTTTAATTGTTTAAAATTAAAAAATCAAAAAAATTAGTATAAGATATTGATCATGATGCTTCTCACTAAAAATCTCATTTTGCTTATATAAATAGAAGTATAAGATTCACTTTATGTAAGCAAAATAATTCGCTTTTTTCTTTTTTTTTTTTCTCAATGTGAGATTATAAAATAAAAGTTAAACGAAAGCTAACCAATGAGGATTTTCTTGATTTTTTAAAAGTTAACAATTGTTAGAGCATGAAGTTTATTTCGAATCAAGCAATCATATCCATTTAATCTTTAATTAAGTCAATCTTTAATTTATTTCGAATCAAATAAATTTAACAAATATATTTTGATAAAATCGCTAAAATCGAAGTTAAACCAATGAATCAGTCAAACCCAAAATGGTTTACCCTATCGGCTAGGTTAAAGGACTAACCAACGTATACAAAAATTAATTAGTTAAAATTTTTAAATTTTATTTTAATTTTAAAATTTAAACTGTCTTGAATTGAAAGATACACAACACTACAATATTAAATGGGAGCATAGGTTTATATAATGAAACAACTTATTTTTCCTCCTTTTCCTGATGTAAGATTGTAAAATAAAAGTTAATAGTTATTTGGACGGGAAGTTCGTTTCTAATTAAGCAATCTCAGTCGTTCAATTTTTAATAAGATTAATCTTAGTTTATTTCAAATCAAACAAATCTAAGTAATATATTTTGATAAAACAGTTAAAATCGTGGTTAAATCAGTAAATCAATCAAATCGAAAATGATTCAGCCTAATTACCTAAGTCAAAAGACCAACCAATTTATAACAAAATTAATTAATTAAAACCTTAAAATATCTTGAACTAAAACATGCACAATACTATAATATTAAATAAGAATATAAAATCCACTTTATATAAGTGAAACAACTCACTTTTTATTTATTTTGTCGATGTGGGATTGTAATTATTTCAAAGTTAAATATTATGAGAGTTTCAAAATTTCATACAAAATTATTTTTAAAATCAAAACGTTTATGTGGAATTGTACAATAATAGTTAAATGGAAGCTAACCAATAGAGATTTTCTTAATTGTTTAAAATTAAGAAAATCAAAAAACAAATTGTATTGATTATAGGACTTCTCACTAAAAATCTTCTTTTGCTTATATAAATGGGAGCATAAAATTCACTTTATATAAGTGAAACAATTTACTTTTTCCTTCTTTTCTCTATATAGGATTGTAAAATAAAAATTAAATGGATATGCACATTGGATTGCAGATTGAAACTGTTTTTACGAAAGCACCTTCACATAGCATGAGTGATATGCTAGGAGTATTATACATGTTTCTTAAACACACAAACAAAAAAAATTGGTACTGATTATAAGATTTCTCACTAAAAATCTTTTTTTGTTTATATAAATGGAAGCATAAGATTCACTTTATATGAGTGAAACAATTTACTTTTTGATACTTTTCCCAATGTGGGATTATAAAATAAAAGTTAAATAGAAGCTAACTAATGGGATTTTTTTAATTGTTTAAAATTAAGAAATTTCAATAATTTATATATATTGGCGCATAAACTTTATATAAATGAAACAATTCACTTTTTTTTTTCTTCTCTCTCCCTGTTTTGGGATTGTAAAATAAAAGGTAAATGAAAACTAACCAATGAAAATTTTCTTAATTGTTTAAAATTAAGAAAATTTAATAGTTTTAGAATGAGAGTTTAAACCTTCTATAAGGCTTCTCCTTTAAAACTCTCTTTATAAAATTATTTTATATGAGTGAAACAATTCACTTTTTCTTTCTTTTCCTGATGTGGGATTGTAACATTATATAAGTGAAACAACTCACTTTTTCTTTCTTTTCTCGATGTGGGATTGTAATTATTTTAAAATTAAATATTATGAGAGTTTCAAACAAAATTATTTTTTAAATCAAACTTATATGGGATTATAAAATAAAAGTTAGCCAATAGAGATTTTCTTACTTGTTTAAAATTAAGAAAATAATAAAAAAATGAGTATGAGATATTGATCATAGGATTTCTTACTAAAAATCTCATTTTGCTTATATAAATGGGAGCATAAGATTCACCTTATGTAAGTGAAACAATTCACTTTTTCTTTCTTTTTTTAATGTGAGATTGTAAAATAAAAGATAAATGAAAGCTAACCAACAGGAATTAGAGAGGCATACTTTAGGTTATTGAATTTATCATACTTGATCATTTTGTAAACTCATATGTATATTTAAAAAAAAAATCAAATTCGTTTTAAAGTCATGTTCATACAATTTCAATGTATTTATTTTTAATAAAAATATATGATCTATTTATAAAATTATATGTATTATTTATTTTTAAAAATTAAATATAATAAAATTATGTGATTATAAATGATAGTCTCGTTCAATGTAAATCGAACTTTAATTTGTTTAGAATGTTACCAATAAAACCTGAAAATAAATCAAAGTCAATCAACTGATCTATTCTCCTTTCCGATATGTGTGCCTTATTATATTGTCATTCATGTTGTTATAATTGTGGAATTAACTTGTATCATTGCATTTGGAGCAAAATATTGCTTTAAAAGTATAATTAACTGTAACCATGCAAGCAAGATGGACCCAATTGGAAGAGATTGGTGACGATTTTTAAATTTCGAAACCCTTTTATTATAATAATATTTACATTAATTATTAAAAGAATCCTTTAAATTATATAAATTGGCCTCTTATTAAAGATGCATATTTTCACTGTACAGTTTAGTGAACCATCAACATAAACTATGATAAAAACTTCCGACCTAAACTATCCCAACCTAGACAATTCATTTTTTCTTTTTTTCCCGATGTGAGATTATCAAATAAAAATTAGCCAATAAAAATTTTCTTAATTGTTTAAAATTAAAAAAAATAAAGAAAATTAATATGAGGTATTAAAACTCTCACAAGGCTCATCACTAAATGGGATGGGAGTATCAAATTTTCTATATATGAGTAAAAAACTAATTTTTTTTCTTCTTTTCCTGATGTAAAATTATCAAATAAAAGTAATTATTTAAAATTAAAAAAATCAAGAAAATTAGAATGAGGATTTAGAATTCCTAAAATGTTTCTCGCTAAAAAAGTTATTTTTTCTTATACAATATATAGATATAGATAGATGGTCACATTATTTTTGTAATTTTTTTTTTTTGGGTATAAATTTTATGTGAGAGTAATATTTTCCTTGTAATAACAAAGCGAGGTTAAATTCGTCCAAACAAGCTCTAAGAATTTAAAATCGATGTCCCCACCAACTTAGGACAGTGAAGTAATTTAAAGTTGAGTTTGGAAAAAAAACAAAAACCGAAAAAAGAAAGGAAAAGGATAAAACACAAATAAAATATAAATTCACAGTCACCACCACACCACCTAATAAAAGAGCTTTTTCTCTCTCCTTCGCCCTCACAAACCCTTTCTCTCTCCTTCTCTTTGCTCTTCGCGGAAGAGAGAGAAACTCCGAAACCTCTCCTTCTGCTCTAATCTCCCAATCTTCTCTCTCTATAAACAAACACATACATATACGTATATATATACCTTGAATCTTATATATACAGAGTCCTTTTGGATTCGAAGCTTTTTTGAATCGGTGATTTTTTTTGTGTTGTGTTTTTTGATCGGACGGCGGCGATTGAGGTATGCAGGCTGATCAGACGGTGTTGAGCTTGAGACCTGGTGGCGGTGGAGGCAATCGAGGCAGCAGAGTCCTTGGTCCTCGCTTCGAGCCTTCTTCTGGATTTGGATCTTCGTCTCTATCTTCAGATCTTTCTCTCCTTCGTCCTCATGGCGGCGCTCCTTCTTCCTTCTATCTCACGGTCGATACTTTCTCTCTCCTCCCTCGGATCTAGGGCTTCCTTCTCTTCTTCTGTAGTTGTTGTATTCTTTTTCGCCTTCGCATCGTTTTCGATTTCGTTTTCTACTGAATTTGATATTAGTTCTTTTGATACGTAAAGATATCAATTTGGATGTTAATCTGTGATTTTTGTTTTAGGTTTCGGTTACGTTTCAATTGTAACTTGGATTTTGTTATAGTTTGTTTGAAGTTGAGGTACATGATTTTGTTTATGTATTAGCTGTAAATCGATAATACATGTTGTAGTTTCTGGTGATGATGGATCATACTTGCAAAAAAGAAAAAATCACATATGTCAAAGTTTATTGTGTTTTCTCAAGTGGTGATTTGGTGTTTTTCGATTCTGAAAATCATAAAGGATGTGTTTTTCTTGTGTAGTTTTATTAGTTCTTGCTTTAGGGGTAGCACGGGGTGTTAAAATAACGGTAATTTGAATTTTTAAATTAACCTTCTGATTACTCGTGCTTTTGAAAAGGTTATGGGATGGAGAATTTTAGAAATTAATGTCCTCATTCTTAGCATTGCACTTAAGGTGTGTATCTGCTGTAAATATGGACATAAAACAACATATAGGCTTTAGGTGGGCATGCCGTGCACTTCAGATTGCCCATAAAGAACCTATGTACATTTAAGCTTTTTCTAAGGGATTTTATGAAACTTGGGAATTTCGTGTTTGTGATGGAATGTAAGAAAATTGAGTTGCTTTTACTTTTGACTTATTGCGATGTTGGGGAATAGCTGTGTCACCAAGCTGTTAATGAAATAAGAGTTAGGTTTTGTCATGATTGGTAGCATGGGATTGGTGCATGATCCCGTTGACAGCTGGTTTATGTCTGATAGGAAGACGACACCAAGTATGCTTTCGTTATTGTCGGATTTATAGAAGTTTTATTGAACTGACATATGTTATTCTGGCATACTTATTGTATTTGTCTCTTGTTACAGACTAGGATGTTTATTGAATTGGTTAGGTTTATAGAGTTTCTGACTTTTTGGTTGACTTCAGCCCAAAACTCTGCAAACGTAAGTCATCATATCTGTTGGGGTGAACTGTCCACTAATTTGCCAAGTCATCATGCTTCCTTGTTGACTTTAGTCATCCATATTGAATGTTGTATCAAGGGTTTTAAATATTGTCGGTTATGTATCATATCGGCTGTTCCATAACGGATTTTTGGCCTTCCAATACCGTTATTCATTGATATATCGGTCGACATTGTTTGTTACTCTCCAATATCAGTTGATATACGACCGTATCACAGTTACATATCCCGTTATTTAAAACTATGGTTGTATGTTGGCCATATTTTGTGCATGATGGTAATGATTGTGAGTTGTACATAATCTATTGGTTTTAATGCAGCCTTGCTAGTTGATTCATAAATAACACAGTCCCCATTTTCTTTAAGAGCAATTTTCCCATTTGTTTTAATGATTGAAAATTAAAATTTATTTTATTACTTGTTTGCTTGTATGGAAAGTTTAATAAGTGGATTTAAGTTTTTGACTCATTGTAGTTTTGTTGTTGTAGACTGGAGATTCCCGGTTCGAGGGCCATGAGCGTGTTCGTTACAGCCGGGACCAGTTGTTGCAACTTAGGGAGGTAAGATTTTTTAATTTATGCTCTTAATGAGTGTGTACTATTTTTGTGATATTGCGTCTAATTTGTGGGGCATTGGTGACAAACTTACATTGTTCTCTTGCTTATAAGATACCTCTACCATGTTACCATATTCCTTGCAAACCTCCTCCTTTCTTTCATGAATGTTGTCTTTTGTTTATTTACTTGTAAATTTTTCCATAGCATCCAGGACTTCTTTATCTTTGCACTTATCCTGTTCGTTGGGAGTTGTAGGAGATACACACCTAGTCAATGCTGATGTAGTGGAATCTTTGTTGTAATTTTTTATATTGTCATCTCTTACCTCCCTTCCTTTCATTTCCCCCTGTTTCATTTCTATGTTTTGATTAGTTTATTTGTTTTATTGGCTTGCTTATGGAAACATGCTACATCTTTTCCCTTTTCGGGGGTGCATGTAAAAGCATATTATTGATCACTTCCTTTGATTAATGGGAGCTGCCACTGGTTAATGTCTGTTTATGTACGTTGAATAATCGTGTCTATTGCCCACTTTTTAGTTGTTTTCACGATGGTCTAAATCATGTTGAAATGACTTTACTCTGGCAGATATAGATGTATGTTTGATCTGTCTTCATGACCAACACTGTTTGCAATGATCTTATGTTGCAAATTCTTTATCCTTCATTTGTGTTGCTAAATCACTCATGGTGACTGCTTATGCTGTGTATTTTTTCATAGGTTGGTAACATCCCTGAGGCTATACTGAAAATAAAACAAGAAGTTGAAACTGAATTTTTTGGTGAAGATCAAAACTGGGGTCATGTGGAAAGCACTGTAAGTTTCTGTTACCCTTTGATAAACCCTGTCATTGAGAAAAATGATTGATTTCTTGCAGAGATTAATATCATACCTTCAACCTTTGCTTGCATCAAAATTTTCTTATGGTTAATTGCAATTGGTGAAGAGTTTTGTTATTCAAGAATGTTTCTGTTGTGCTAATTTTTCTTAATTTCCTTCTTTCTATTGGTATACTTTACCAGCTCATTTTGTTTGACATGTTTGATTTCAAATAGCCACCAATTCAACCTCAAAATCGTTATTCTGAGCCAGACAATCGTGACTGGCGTGGTCGATCTGCACAATTTCCTGCATCTGGAGAGGAGAGATCCTGGGAGAACAAAGAGTTTAGTGGCCGGTTTGACTCTAGACAACAGGAGGCAGGTCAACATAATCGCCAAGACCAACTCAACTCACAGTTTTCAAGGGCACAAGGGGTAAGTTGTTTTTGTTACGTAAGTGAATTGATTTTTTGCATTACTCATTTAGGGAAATCCATAGTGAGGGGTTGTTTGGCATATGTTTTCTCGTTATTTTTTCTTGTTTTTTAGACTACAGTGCGCCCAAAAAGCAGGGAGTTTGGAAAATGAGTTTAGCTGTAGAAAAGCATAAAAACCAAGCTTATTGTATGTTTATTTATTTTATTTTATTTGGTTGGCAAACACTTTGGCTTTTTAGCCTCTTTTACTGAAAACAAAAAGTAAAAACTGAAGTCTTAGTCTTTATAAACAATCATGTTTTTCTTTCTAAAATGGATCTGACATTGAATTTAATCTCTGTGGGTTAGTGGGTTTTAATGATTGTTGAGGCATAGTTATTGATGAAAATTCGACTTATTTTTGTGTTACTCTTTTTATGTGTTGTTTTGTAGTATTTCCATTTTGTTCAATTAAATAAAAGAGCTATCATACCATGTAATGCTCGATTAGTATAGAAGTGCGTACTCATATGATTCCTTACACACATGCGTACTTAAGGATTGCTAGTCTTTAGATTTTCAACCTAAATGTGTTTTGAAATCTAAACGGTGTTTTTGTTTTGATGTAATGGCCTTCGGTTTTTGGAGCTGATTCCTTGTCCTCTCTTTGTAGTTTGTCTTTGCTTGTCAATAAAATTTTTCATTGCCAACAAAAAAAAAAGTTGTGTTTTAAATCTAATCATTGTTCAAGTGTTTTCCCATAAGGGCTCAATCAACAATCCTTCTATATCTTTATATGAGGCTTATTAGTCAGTTTAATGTTAAACACTATCCGATGAAGAACTTCCTTTATTGATAATAATTGTTCCTAGATAGTGCTACTGCCTTGGAATCTAGGGAGGAATAAGTGGCATCCTCTTTTTTCTCAGATTTTCGACTTTAGGAGTTTTCCATAAGTTTTGGAAATTATGTTATCCAAATGCACTAGAAGTTTAACTTTTAAGTTCTGATTGGGATTGCTGTATGGTTGTCCCATTGTTTGCATCTGAGAACTGGTTGTCCTTTGTCAGTTGATCAATCAATTTTGTGCAGATGGTCTGAGGGATGCTCACGGGGTTAATCATGGCTTGAGGTTTTTATTCTAGTTTTTCTTTTACTGTTTTGTTCCTTTATCTTATACAAGGATGTATCATGATTTGGGAAGAAAATGAAAGGAGAGAAGGGGGACCCTAGCGCACTTCCTTCATCTGTATCATGGTTTTTTTCCCCCCTTCTTTGTAGTGTTGTTTTCTTATGGGGCTGTAGTATGAGAAGTGGCATCCTTCTGTTTGGGAAGAAAATGCAACCTCATTGTATATGACACCTCTGAAAGGTGGGTAGAATATGTAGAATGACCAGGAATGAGAAAAGGGATGAGCTTCTCTGTTATAAACCTATTACACGGAGAGATAGTTGTGTTCTACAGACTAGCCTAGTGAATTTTCACAGTTCCTTTAAAATGAAAGTATAAACATATTGCATGATCTAAGCTGTATATGCAAACTGTGCTGACATTCGCCACTGCCTTTTTAATCAGTGTGGCCGTGTGTTGTTAAGATGTGGTCTGTTTACTATGTAAATTTTTGTTTGTCTGTAAATAGTTGCCGTTTGGAGTTAATATCGAGCCATGCTTTGCCAATGAACCAGGTAGGACCCGCTCCTGCTCTAATTAAGGCTGAGGTGCCATGGTCAGCTCGAAGGGGAACCCTCTCTGATAAGGATCGTGTTTTGAAGACAGTGAAAGGGTAATTTCTTCTGAAGATCTTTGTATGATTTCCTGACAGCTATGCAATCATGTGATTGTCACTTGCTATGGATCCTTCTGAATATTTAGTGTCTATGTTGGACACTCTAATCATATTCGCAATTTATAGTTAATTTCACTCAGTCATGAACCATTTTTGTTTGATATCAATTATTAAGGTTTTGAAATATTTTAAATCTCTACTGTGTGTATTTGATATTATAATTTAAATCTCTCTGATTTAATTTGATTTAATTTAGTTAAATATTGTTTCTGATTGCTAGAAAAAATTGTTGGCTCTAGTAACTAATGATTGCATGAATGTCAGTTGACAGGAGTTTGCAGCTGAATTTTTTTTCTCTTGTTTTTAAAATTAGCATACATGTTGAATGTCATTTCATATCAATTATGCTTGCTGACTTCTGTCTTCGATTGCTATTTAGGATACTGAATAAGCTGACTCCAGAGAAGTTTGACCTTCTCAAGGGACAGCTAATTGATTCTGGCATCACAACACCTGATATTCTGAAGGTTCTTCTTTTCTATTCTATTCTTTTTTTTTCTTTTTTTCTTTTTCTTTTTCTTTTTCTATTTTCTATTTTCTATTTTCTTTTTTAATTTTTAATTTGTTTTTACCCCTCCATCCCCCAAACCTCCCAGACATGCTTCTGCCTGGATTGGGGAATTTTCTTAATTATTATTTTACTTTCAGTTTGGTTTTTAAAGGCTAATGCAGATTCTGCTTGCAATGCACAGGATGTTATCTCCTTGATTTTTGACAAGGCAGTGCTGGAACCAACATTTTGCCCCATGTATGCAGAGCTGTGTTCGGATCTAAATGAAAAGCTCCCTCCATTCCCATCGGATGAGCCTGGTGGGAAAGAAATCACTTTTAAGCGGGTCCTCCTGAACATCTGCCAGGAGGCATTTGAAGGCTCTGACAAACTTAGGGAAGAAGTAAGGCAGATGACTGCTCCTGAGCAAGAGTCGGAACGTAGAGATAAAGAAAGAATGGTCAAACTTCGCACACTCGGAAACATTCGTCTAATTGGGGAGCTTTTGAAGCAGAAGATGGTGCCTGAAAAAATTGTTCATCACATTGTTCAGGTTCTAATTAAAGCTCCCTCTCTTCTTTCATGTTTTTAGCTTGTAATATCTTGATTATTTTTAGATCTCTCTTAATATAAAAATTGTTTTACCGTTATTTGTCATGTGAGACAGGAGCTTATATGGAGCTTCCTTTCATGGTTCTTTCACGTTTTTGGCTTGAAATATCTTTATTTTCAAAACAGTGTCTGACTCTCAATATAATAATTTTCTTTTACCATAACTTTTCATGTGAAACAGGAGCTTTTAGGGTCTGATAGTAAGACTTGCCCCGAGGAGGAAAACGTGGAGGCCATATGTCAATTCTTCAACACTATTGGTAAACAGCTTGACGAGAGCACCAAGTCACGGAGAATTAATGATATGTACTTCATCCGATTGAAAGAATTGTCAACAAATCCCCAGCTGGCTCCACGATTAAGGTTCATGATTCGTGATGTTCTTGATCGGCGTGCAAATAATTGGGTTCCCAGACGTGAAGAGGTAACTTTCTACTGCTCATTAATTTCCATGATATGATTTTGGTGCTGGTATAAAATTTTATCATTTTGCTAATTAAACTCGTTGCAGGTTAAAGCCAAAACCATCACTGAAATCCATTCGGAGGCTGAAAAGAATCTGGGGTTGCGTCCTGGTGCTACGGCAAGCATGAGAAATAACCGTGTTGTTTCTGGTGGACAGGGGAGTGTCAGCCCTGTGAGTGGTTTCCCCATCAATCGTCCTGGCACTGGGGGAATGATGCCGGGAATGCCAGGGACGAGGAAGATGCCTGGGATGCCCGGAATTGATAATGACAATTGGGAGGTTCCTAAGGCTCGTTCCGTGTCGAGGGGTGATGTATCAACAACCATTCAGCCCATTGGACGTGTTAAACCACCATTAATTGGCAAGCCACCATCATTGAACTCAAAATTTCTTCCTCAGGGTACTGGTGGCCTCATAGGTGGTAGGACTAGTGCCCTATTGCAAGGCAGTGGTGCCCCTCCTGTTCGCCCTCCTAACTTTGGGTATGGTATGGACCCCCCTGCATCTCAAGTCCCTTCCCCCGCCAGGCCTGCACCAATCGCATCTGTGCCTCTGGCTGCTGAGAAAGCAGTGGGTCCTTCTAATATCATGGTACTTAGGAGAAAAACAATTTCTCTTCTGGAGGAATACTTCAGTATCCGGATGTTGGACGAGGCATTGCAGTGTGTGGAGGAATTGAACTCCCCAGCTTACCACCCCGAGGTTGTCAAAGAAGCCATTGCGCTTGCTTTGGAGAAAATCCCACCCTGTGTGGAACCAGTTGTGAAACTCCTTGAGTACTTGTTTGCCAAGAAGATTCTTACGGCTAGGGATATTGGGACCGGATGCGTGCTCTATGGTTCGATGTTGGACGATATAGGCATCGATTTACCAAAGGCACCGAATAATTTTGGTGAGGTTATTGGGAGTCTAGTTTTGGCCGGTGGATTGGACTTTAAGGTGGTGGAGGCTGTCCTGAAGAAGGTGGAGGACGATATGTTCCGAAAACCGATATTTGCTGCTGCAATGAGGATCATCACTTCAAGTCCTTCTGGGCAACGCCTATTGGATACGCAGACACCTGACATTGAGGCATGCGAGAGCCTAGTCTAGGGAATGTTTTGGTGCTCATATTGTCGCTTAACTTTGCAATTGCTTCCATTTACATCCCCAACCCACCCGTTCGAGGCAATCAACTGTATTATTACATGTGTGATAAAAGGTGGAGCTGCTAAAGAAACAGGTGAGAATTTTATTGAGCTGCTACTATATATTGTTCTTGAGGTCATAGTATTGTGTTCACTAGAGAGATTACAAAAAAAGATAATTCTCTGGATTTTGTTCTCGAGTACTTGAGTTGAATGGCCCTTTCTGGGACCCAGATGTTTTATATTTGATTAGTTTTTTTTTTTTTTTGGTTCTCTTTTTGTTGTTTTAATTTTCCTGACTCCATGAGTAATTTAGCCTTTCTTTTTTTTTTTTTTGTTTTCTAAATTTATTTTGGTCACTTCATAAATGACATTGCTCTACTTTCGCGGGTTTTTCAAATGAGAATTCAATTTAGTAATTTTTGCTTCTGGGTAGCTTGTTCATGCCTTCAGCTTGGAAATATTTTTTGTCGCAGTGTGGGTCGGGTTTTTGTTTTGCATTGATATGGTTTTTGAGAAGATTTCTTTTGATTGGTGGTTGCTGCAGACTTGGAATGGATAACTTACTTTTTTGCTTGATGTTCCTGCTTGTAATTTTTTGCTGGAAATTGTTTGTAATGCCTGGTGCTTCTGTTTTTATATGTTTTGAAAACTAGTGTATTAATCATATTTTTTGTTTTTGTTTTAGTTTTGGTTTTGGTTTTGGTTTTGGTTTTTTTAAACATAATAATAATAGTAATAAAGGAAAGAAAACACCAAAACATGTTTCCTATTTTTGCTAAATGGAAAGAGGAAATGCTAACAATTTGTTCTTTTCTTTTGTTTCAATTTCAATTTTGTTTTTCGGTTTTTGTATTTGATAATTAAAAACGAAAATGTCACAAAACATGAATGAAAACTGGGAATTTTCTATTTCGTGCCTGTTGCATTGTTTCCATAGAACACACAAACTTGCTTCCACAAAGTAACAACATCATACATAAAAAAAAACACACTAGTTCTATCCAAAAGCTGCTCCAAACATGGCTGAGTAGGCATTAATTTAACTATTATTTGGGCTACCATGGTTATATTATTGCAACTGGAGGCTACAATTTGGGACTGCCAAGCTTCGCATTACAATCTTTGGCATCAAATTTGGCACAAGTTCAGGCATATTGCCAAATTTTGATTGAATATATACATAAAAATATTAACTGGAATATGTTAAAGTTGTATAAACCGTTTGATTAACTCAAGCATGTATCTCATATATCACTTGCACAAGCCCCATCCTCTATTTCTCATTTATAGTGCAGTCCTCTGGGCCCCTTGTGATCTAACATTAAGATGAAAAATCACGTATCACTAGCTGGTAATCTAAAAGACTATATAAATAATGTTACGTGATTGGATTATCAAATAATTAATTATTCGTAGTGACCCTACCAATTAGACTATTGGGTCAGATCTTCTAAATGAGACCACTTTACAAGTCATCTCGGCGTGCTTGGAAACATAGGCCCAACTCCAATTTAACATCTCTGAATTAATGGCGACAATTATGTGTTCTAACAACGAAGGCACTCAATGGGGTGGACAAAATTTCTATACTCTGATTAGACATAAGCTAATTCACATTCAAGTCATTTCCTTTTATTTTTCTCGCTAAATTAAGAAAATTAATAATTAGATTAGTTTGGCTTCTGTCTTTATCCCTCTCCCTAGAAAAGTTTTTAGTAATTCTGAAAATAGTCAAGTGATGTCCCAATAGTATTGTGATTGATGATGGAGGTAAAACTTAAGACATTGTATTGAGATATTAAGAAAAATAATATAAAAACTTAATAGGGATAAAGACACGTAATACTCCTAAATCACTTAATATTTTTTTTCTCCACCTGAGCATCCCATGCCCTTTTGTTTGGGTTTGCAACTCTCCAGGCCATGTTCTAGCATCACAAGTAATTTTTTATGGTTAATGTTAAAATGACAATGTTATAATAAAATTTCAAAATGTTACAATGCAAAAATATTATAATTTGATAATCATTTTTCAATCGTATGAATGTTATTTATTCAATGAATATGCTTGGTTATCATTTTTCAAAAACACTTTTCAGAAAATTCTACTTTCTTATTTTCCGTATTTTTTTGTTTTTACTGAATTTTTAAAATATTTTTGAGCAATTTTTTTAATTTTTAGACATACCTAACATAAATATACCTAAAAAGTAAAAAAAAAAAATTGAAAAAAATCTTTTAAAAATTCAAGAAATATCAAAAATACAAAAAATAAATACGAGAATTCAGTACATTTTTTATATTTTTATGTATTTATTAATTTTTAAAAATATTTTTTCATAATTTTTTTACTTTTTAGATACATCTAAGTAAGGTGTATCTAAAAAAGTAAAAAAAATGTTTAAAATTTTAAAAATATTCACTAAAAACAAAAAAACACGAAAATCAAAAAACTCAATTTTCAAAAAAATTAATTCAAAAAACTCAAACCAAACACACTAAAAAGATAAGCGCAATAGATTTTGGGTGGGTTTTGTTTAAAAATTTTTGTCAATTTTTTGCTTTAGAAAATGTTTTAGGATATTATTAAAAGAAAATGAATTTGTTCACATATATATGATTGATCCAAAACTCTAAGTTCCATACCTAAAAGCGTATTGATCTTATTAAACTTATGGGTTCCATAATTTTAGACTATTCAAAATAAATGTTTTGTTTATACACCTTATCAGTTATGTGAACAAGATCGAACTCCTATTAAAATGACCAAACATGTCCCTAGTTTAGAATTTCGAACTGGACATCTAGTTCAGGCAATACTTTCTATAAATTAATAGTTTAGATTTTCTCAACCCACTTACTACGTACTTCAATTGTTTAACCAAATATCGGATTAATAATTTTATTAGACTATTAGTCCAATCCCAAGCTCATGTCCGCCCAAACAAACATGACCTTAATATATTAAAAAAAATGTCAATATAACACAAATCCATTGCTCAAACTGTTCTCTCCAATTTATACCCGGAATGAAAAGAAGCCATTCTCCCACTAAAAAGGTTGTAAATCTCTTTTGATCATAAAGGTTTGGCTACAAGAGATGTTGGGCTAGTTTGTTGGGTTTTGTTCTCCTATCCCATTTTTCTCGGCCCATTGTTGTTTTTTTTAACCTTTTGTCTCCATTAAGAAGCTGTTGGGCTCTTGCCCGTTGTTCTAGCCGTTGGGCTCAAAATGGAAGTCAACAAAATAGAGAGGCTTCCGGGCGGGAGCGTCCAGTTGGGTTTGCATCATAGGGTTCATTTCAATGATATGAGTCGTTTGTATTTTAATCTCTACGTATATGTAACTTATATAAAAAAAATTTATACTGATCTGATAACTATAATCACATGATTCTGTTAAGAAGATCATTTTGTTTTTGGGTCAATCAATAGTAGAATACAACAATGTTAGAGGGCCACAATTTTTGTAGTCATAATGGCTCAAAACTGCTAAAACGATGTCGTTTTGGCATGTTTTGCACTCAAAACGATGTCGTTTTGGCAGTTTTGAGCCATTGTGGCCACAAAAATTATGGCCCTCAAACATTTTCCTAGTAGAATATTACATTTTACAAATATCAAGATAATTAAGTTAAGGTAGACAGTTAACTATTTAAAAACGTTCAATAATACAAATAAGCAAGTTTAATACCAACTACATAAAATAAGAAAGACCCTCATAATATGAAAAAAATAAACAACTAAAGAAAATCCAATAATATAAATAAATCCTTACTATTGGAAAGGTTTGACCCTCTAAGCCACATTTTCTAATCATGAGTGTGAGACAAATTAAATTGATATTGTGTTTGACTAGCAAGCAAATTGTAATAGAAAAATGTTATATATCATTGATTTTTTGTCATTATTTTGTATCACCGTTTACATGGATATTCATGATTATTTAATTTGTTTGAAGATAATTATTAATGAATTAATGAGAGCAAATGAGATCTTGTGACATACGGATATATATATATATATATACAGAGAGAGAGAGAGAGAAAAGAAAAAAAAGTGATACATAACTTGCTTCATTGTAATAAGAAAAGGGTATGGCTTCTATCCAATCCGGGATCGGACTGGACCGTGCTGTTGGATCTGTAGGGGTCCACCACGGGTCCGGTTTTGATAATCTGAACCGTTCAATGTATAGAAATCGTCGAGTACTATATGCCTGTAAAAAATCACGCTGATCGGATATCGATAGCTATGTGATCAAAACAGTTTTTTTGTCAATCGTTAATTTGTTCACCGTCCAATTTTTTTAATACGAAACTGATTTGATCATATAGCTATCGATATCCGATCAACGTGATTTTTTACAGGTTGGACCTGTGGGGGTCTACCACGGGTCCAGTTTTGATAATCTGAACCGTTCAATGTGTAGAAATCGTCAAGTACTATGTGCCTGTAAAAAATCACGCTGATCGGATATCGATAGCTATGTGATCAAAATAGTTTTTTTGTCAACCGTTAATTTGTTCACCGTCTAATTTTTTTAATACGAAACTGATTTGATCATATAGTTATCGATATCCGATCAACGTGATTTTTTACAGGCATATAGTACTCGACGAGTTCTATACATTGAACAATTCAAATTATCAAAACGGAACCCGTGGTGGGCTCTCACAGGCCCAACAGTACGGTCTAGTCCGGGACTGGACAGAAGCCATACCCATAAGAAAATGTGGTCATCTTATAGTACTGTTAGACTCATCCTGTTTGGCAAGATGGTTCAGATTAAATTAGCCCACTAAAAGACGAAATAAGTTAAAAAGTTAATAAGATAAAATGTCACATTTAAACTATAATTATTTTTCTTTTTCTCTTACAAAATTACAAAAAAATCAAAAGTTCATTCAAAATAAATTTTTTTTAATCAAGCTAAAATAGTCAAAAAGTCAAAAAAAATTAGACTAAAAAAGTTCTTTCCAAATTATACATACACCATATTATGTTTACTATCTTAATTATCAACACAACATTAATGTAATGGGTCACACCACTCATCATATCTATATCTAATGCAAATATGATACAAAATATATAATAAATTTAGCATTACTCTTCAATTTTGAAAAATTGAAGAGTTTGTTTTCAAAATAATATTTGTCATATTTTTATATTAATAAAAATTGTAAAAATTAGGGTAAATTACACCAGTAGTCTACATATTTTGATTTTTGTATCATTTAGATCATTGTAATTTTAATTGGCTCAATTTTGATAATTAATTTATGATCATGTCCCTATTTGATCTAATTTATTGCAATTGTTAATTTTTTTTTGATAAAAAAATTCGCACAT